TAGGATGGCAAGAGTCTTTACTAGTGGGTTATTTATAAACAGAAGTTTTAAAAGTATTATTACTAAAATCGACGAGAACATCTAAGAAAGGAAGTTTATTTTTTTCACGAAGTTCATAAGTAAAATTTAGGACGGAATTTTGTTGAAATGTAGCTTTTAGATTTTTTATTTCTTTCTTGTTTTCAGCCAAAATAAAAATATCGTCTACATAACGAACATATATTTCAGGTTTAATAACTTTAGTAAAAGCCTTGTTTTCAACATAGGACATATAATAATTGGAGAAGCACGGCCCGAGACGGTTTCCCAAACTTACTCCATCAGTTTGTGTGTAAATAGTACCATTCTGGCTATAAAAAGGAACTCTAGTGGTGCAAGCGAGCAATAGTTTTCTTAAAATATTGGGTTGGATTGATGGAGGTGGAATTAAATTATTTTTATACACCGAATTAATGATAATATCAATAGTTTCGGAGACAGGAACATTAGTAACTAAATTCTCTAAGTCAAGTGATGCAAGAATGCCGTGGTTTGTTTTTAATTTTGTGCTTTTAAGTATTTGAAGCAATTCATGGGTAGATTTAATGCTATAGTTAGTAGGGAGATATGGGGTAATAATATCATTGAGAAATTTTGATAGTATATGCATGTTGGAATCTGAGAAATAATAGGTTGTAATAAGTATCCCGGTTTGTGTATTTTAACATTACCGTATAAATAGTCAGGTTGGTAATCTCCAATAATTTTGCTTATTTTTAAGGATCCTGCAACAGCATTATTGGATGTTATGAGTTTATTAACATAACTCTTTAGAGATTGAGTGGTGTTCGTATTCAATTTAGTAAATTTAGAATGATCATCAATGAGATGCTGAAGTTTTTTGTGATAATCCAATTTAGCCAAAATTACGTGAATATTGGATTTATCAGCTTAACTATAGATAAACATATTAGGGTTGTTTTTTTTTAATTCTTTAGCAGCAATTTTGAGTTTTGTTGGAATGTTCTTGATTCTATTACATGGAATATAATCTTTTAGACCTTCTACCTTGAGAAGATCTTTGAGGTTTGGATGGAGTATTATCAATTTGTCCTTTTCTAGTTGACATAATGATTGATGTAAGATTTCAATTTCAGTCTTCTTTTTGAGAAGGTCGAATTTAGGTTGGAAATAGCAGTTTGGTCCTAGATTTAGAAATTCCTTTTGATCATCCGTTAATATGTGAGTGGATAGGTTTATATATTTATCATGGTTGTTGGGAAGTAGAATATTTCCTTGGTATAAGTTGCACAGCTTTTTTGTAATTATTTGTCGATGGTCAAGTTCATCATTATTAATACTTATGATGATGTGGTATATACAGGCAAAATGTTTGGGTTCACCCCGCAACTTTTTAAAAATACATTAAATGTACTATTCTTGTATTTCTTTTTTTAAAAGTAAATGATAAACTTTCAGTAACTACAGTGTATTTGCTTTAACTTTTCAGCTTTCTCTTGGATTTTCTTACTATCAAAAAGTTCAAATTTAAATTTGGCTGTTCACAATATATTTTGCTAAATTATGGATGATTTTTTTACGAGAAACATTATATTTTGTTTTTCAACTAAGTTAAATGTAATGCCGTTTCTAAATGTTAACCCGGCACTGACTAATGTTGTAGTGATTTTCCAAGCGTAGCTCAGATGTGGCACAAGGCCGAAAGTATGGAGCACCCAGTGAAAATCGAACTCACTACTCGGTCGTAATTGTTCTAGCAAGACAAGGTTGCTAACCATTACACCAACTCGAGCTGCTCCGCTGACTAATGTTGTAAACAAAACATATATAACTGTCGCTGTTTAAAGAAGAAAAAAGTTTGTGCCATTACGACAGTATTTGCATAGTTTATTCATTATTGTTAATTTTGAAGTGATTTGTACAAAATGGCAAGATTGAAGAAGTTAAGCATTGAGTTGAGGGCACAAATTGAAATTTTATTAAAGAAATGGCTGCTCTCAAAGACAAATTGCCAATAAGTTGACCATTTCTTGATATGAGATGCAATATTTGTTACAAAGGCAGTTAGAAACAGGTATAAATGTTGACAGAAGAAAAAGCTGGAGCACCAAAAATGACAACTGCTGCTGAAGATAATCACTTGATTATTGAGAGCAAAAGAAATAGAAGGAAAATTGCTCCAGAGTTGATAGCTCAACTTGATTTCTCGACTTAGATATTTAAGTTGTATCAGATTATTTAGTTTTCTTTCACTTCTTTTCAATTCAACTTATCAGATTTTAATTGGATTCAGGGCGGGTCTCTGTATCATCATCATCATCATCATCATCATCAGTAAGTCCCTCAAGTAATTCAATATTCCTTCGGAAATTGAGGGCTGATCTGTTTGCGGTGACTCTCAGGACTTCCGGCGTTGTCGCGTCCATCCACTCTTTGCTGTCTCACCACTTTTGCGTTATCGTCCCCGCCTGCGTCCGCTTTCAACAGAGCCTTGTATGATGGTCTTGCAAGGGCTGTGTAGGCCAAGGTAAAACTTTGATACTTTTATTCTGAAGATATTTTCTGGACTAAGTCAAAGCTATTTTGGGTCTGGTTCAATGTAACGAGAAATCGGAGAGCCGAGTTCGAAATCCAATCGGGTTCTTCATATTCATTTACATACAAATACTCTTGCGATATGTATGAACCCAAATCACCCCCTAGATACGGGTTAAAGAGTTGAACTTGCATCTAGATATTTTACACTGAGTTTCATTCTGTACAAGGCCCGGGAGCCGCTCGATCTAGAGGGTTAAAGAGTAACAGTTTATGTGGATAAGTGGGGAAGATAACAGCTGACTCTTGACTTGAAGAGGTTTAGATTGTAGGAAGCGGGGAAACATGCTCTTGAGAGTCTGTCTCACAGAGCAGTGGTTCGCTGGAAGAAGCTGCCCGAGTGGAACTGACCTTTCACCAATGGAATACAAAATCAAAAAATTGTTAATACAACTTTCGCTTGCAAGAAAAATGTAATTTTACAATTTAAAATGTGTTTCGGCTTAAAATAATCCTCAAGTGGTGAGGAACAGTGAAAAACGAATCAATGTTTTGGATCGCTGTCAGGAATAAATATCTAACCACACTTCAGATTCAGATGTCTAACAGACACCTTCAATTTGGCATCCATTGTTATCTTCTTTTATTATTATACAATTTGTTTACAGCTAAATACACCCGAATCATGTCCCCATCACCGCCTCACGCTTTGAACGGTTTCTTTAACATTCATATTTAATACATTTCTTGCCATTATAGTGATCTTCCAGACGTATCTTAGATGTGGCACAAGGTCGAAAGTATGGGGCACCTAGTGATGATCGAACTCACTACTCAGTCGTAATTGTTCTAGCGAGACAAGCTTGCTAATCATTACCCCTCTCGAGGTGCCCCTTTCTTGCCATTGTAGTCCAAATAATTTATCTTTCCTAACCACTGTATAAAATTCCTGATTAAAAATCCTTATCACAATATTCAGAAACTATATTTTAAATGAGTTGATCCATCCCTCAAAATAATGTCTTACTATATCAGCATACTCGTCAGTCTCTTTTATACAAGGATTTAGCAATAGGATTTTTTTACTTTACATCTACAGTCTTCCAAACGACCAGTCGGTGACACAAAGGTTTTCTACACAAACTTTTCAGCTATGAAATCACTGGAAGATTTTTTACTGTTATAAAATCCTTTATAGCAGCTATATCCGTGAAGGTTGTCATTAACGGCCATTCCTCTAAGTCTCTAGCGGCCAACGCAGGCGTCTACCGTGGGATTACTTCTCGAAACAACTCTCTTTGTGATTTACAAAAATGATCTACCCAAGAATATACTCCGATCATTTGTAAACGTGTATATGGCGATATTCTGTCACACCTCTAGAAGTCTTGACGATCAGAGATTGGCCGGTGACCTCTTTTAAGATCTAACACAAAATTCCCAGTATTTACATTAGTCGGACTATTGTCCTCATCTTTGTCGCCATATTTGTCACAACGTTTCGGCCGTTGTACGCTCCGGCCTTCTTCAGGTGGTTGGAATTTCGAACTGAACCCTTTATTTCGATCACTGGGGTAGACTGTTCTAATTCCACGTGCCATGTTTTGATGGATGTCAGTTATCAGTTATCTCCTGCTAATTTTCCCTCTGAAAGTTCTCCACTGCCTTAACCAGGAATTGAACTCACCTTCTTTGGGTCTGTCACTGGATCTAACCAACGCCTTTATCCACTGTGCCATGTGTCCTTGATAGATGCAGATAAAATTAGGGACTTCCTCTACCGTACCAGTAAGTACCTGACTCCTCACGCTATCTTCTAGCTTTATAAGAGCCAGATCAATCCGAAAATAGACTACTGTTGCCATATTTGGGCAGGTGCTGCCCAGACCTCACTTCATAGATTTCAAAAGCGTCTCCGAGTCCTTGTGCGAGAAGAATTATTTTCCACCCTCCAACCTCTCTCTCACAGGCGGGATGTGGCTAGTCTCTGACAGCTCTACCGCTACTAACATGGAAAGTGCTCGGACGAATTAATCTCTTGGTTCCACCAGTTCTAACCTTGACGGCTAGGTCCCGCTATGCCACTTACATTGTAGCAAATCGCACACATTCCCTCCTTATTCCATTGGCGAGAAGTAAGTTCCCCTCAAACAGCTCTTTTCTGTGAAACACTGCTTTGTGGGAAAGACTCCCAAGAGGATGTTTACCCGATCACTACAATCTTAACCTGTTCGAGTCTAGAGTCAACCATTATTCACCCACTGTCTTTCCCCTATTTTATATATAAAATCACCTAACCCTCTACCTCGAGTGGCCCTTAGGCCTTACTGTAAAAAAAGGGCTAAAAGTGAATTTGCCAGAAAAAACAAAAGTTTTTCTGCCACGTCCAGATATATATCTTTTCTTTCTTGACTACTAGACTAATACATGAAACAGTTGATTCATGGACAATAAGCGGTTTGGAAATGGCGTCATATCCACTCCCTGATTCGTAGGCTTTTATATTCTTGGTTCTAATTTCTAAACAGAAGTGTTCGCCTCTTCATCATTATCAGTATGTGGCGTGTAATTTAAAAACTCGAAAAAAAAATTCAAAAAATCATTTAGCAGCAAGGATTCACCTCCAGGCTTAAAATTGAATTGCCTTCATTTGCCAGAAAAACAGGATTTATGACAAATCATTATACCTCGAAGCTTGACGTCCAATGGTTCATTCAAATTAGCTGAAACAATTTAAATTTAAATCAAGTTTTAACCAACTTCAATTGAGGTGGTTGTTAGGTGGCAAATCGTTTTCATCAGGGTGAGGCTCTTACTGCAAAAACAAATTCAAACGTAAATAATTATACCACAATTGAAATCACCAACTTAAATCCTTCGGTAAAGAAGTAAACATTAATATATTAATATTACTTCAAATTCGTTATTTATATATGAAAAATAAAATTTCTTTGTTTAAACTTTATCATGCCATTAATAATAAATATTTTTTTATCTTGATATAAGAAGATTAACCCATAATTGTCGCCGATATAAACAAATACTTTTAACCTCTACTTGAAGCTGAAATCCTTCTAAAGTCTGCAGATATTTTCAAGCGTATACTCTGTTTTCAAAAAACGCGGGAGAAAGTTCATCCCAGTCTCAGTATAGACCCATACACCTCTGTGTCATTAGTAAACGTTTTGAAGCTATTAAAACAAGAAGTTTGTTGATCACCTCAATAGGGACAACCTCTTGAGCGACAAATAGTACAAGTTTCGATCGACTCGGTCCACTGCTGATTTCATAACTGTCATTACTTACAGAATAAGTGACAAACTAGACAATAAATACATCTCAATGATGATCGCGTGAGACATTTAAAATGTCTTCGATGAGATGTGCTCTTAGATGAAACAATTGCAGCACAAGCTCTCTAGCTATGGAATCACTGTAAGAATTTTCTTAATTATCAAGTCTCTCCTAACAGGTAGATACTTGACGGTAGTTGTGAACGGTCAGTTCCACAGGGCCAAAGGGATCAACACAAGTGTCACCCATGGCTCACTTCTTGATCAAACTCTCTCTTAAATGATCTGCCTTAGAGTATATTCAGATCTTCTGTGACTATTTGTGCTGATGATACAACTCCAAAACTCGAGATGATCAGAGGCTGGTAGTTGATCTCTCCTCTGATCTAGTTCTAACATCTCAATGAGCGAAAAAACTGGCTAGTCACATTCAATGCCCCGAAAATCAAACTAGTGACGTTGCATCATCACCGAACGGACACTGAATTTCCATCTATCGCGACGAACAGGTGTTCTGCCTTGACAAACTCTTGGCGCATAAACTCATCTCAGACCTCAAGTGGAACTTGAACGTATGATCCATCGTGGAAAAATGGTCAGTTCCCTCTACCACCCCAGTAAGATCGGTGGCTAGGATCGTGGAGCCGGTGTCTGTCGAAAAATGGTGCAGAGAGGAACCTGACGAGGCTCCGCCGAAGGGTGGGGTTTCGTTCGGGAGGTTGACGGAACTAGCCCGTTTGGACAGGTTTAGATGGGTTTTAACGGGCTCGGACATACCCCACATCACATTCAATTCCTGTGGGTGAATTGATAAATACCATCTACCACCCCAGTAAGCACATCACACCTCCTGCTATCATCTACCATTATAAGAGCCAGATCAGGCAGATAATGGAGCACTACTGCTAGATAGAGGCAGAAGCAGCCCACTTGAAATAGTTCAGAGACGTCTCCGCGTCCTTTCGGGTAATGGATTATTTTCCGCCCTACACCCTTTTCCCACAGACGAAACGTTGCTAACCATTCTCTAGGCTATCGATATTTCCGTGGAAAGGTCCAGACGTACTACATCCGTTGGTTCCACCAGTTCTAACCTTTAAGTCTAAAATCCGCCATGCCACGCACATTTTTTCCTTCTTCTGTCAAGTTCATCTCATTTCTGAGTGTTCCTTCAAACATTTGAACTGTAGTGTATGTATACATTATTCATGTAATCATTCCATACCGCATCTCAAACAAACTGAACTAATAGAAGACTAATAGTAACCTTGCTTTCCTTCCCTACGCCAATAGGTTGATAATGATTTGAGCGTATGCTGACGTTATTGATATTCATAGTTTGGATAAGAATAATCTTGAGCAAAATATCAACACATCAGCAACATCCTCTAACAAGTGTTCCAAGAAATAAGACTCCAAAACAGATTATAACCTGGAATTGAAATAAAAGCATATGTCCTGATTCCATCATTTCAAGATAGGGAATAAGTAAATACTGAATACTTTATATACAACTCTGTATGGATTAGTTATAGCAAATTTATTATATAAGTTAAGGAAATTGAACACGGAATAGGCTGCATTAATAGTAGCTTCGCCCAATACCACCAATTGCTACGCAATCAAAACAGTAACAAAAAAAAAAAAAACTTGAATAATGTTCTTAAATATCCTCAAACCAGTTAAGAAATATCCAAACAATCAACTGTATGCAACAGTTTTATCAAATCAATGGTAAAGAATGGTTTTGAGCGAGTTAAAACAGTGAGTGTTGGCGAAGACAAACCATCTTCGAAATTTTTTGACTGGCGCAACAGAATCTACAAACAAAGAACTGTAAAAATTAACAGAAACCATATCGCATGAAGACTTTCAAAAGCAGCGGCAACTAAAATGGATATCACATAAAACTCGAAGGGGAAATAATTTCATAATGAAGATGTAGACATTCCACATTAATTCAAGCCAAAGTTTAGCAATAAAACATAATTAATACTGGAAAGAGCAATAACAGTTACTGGACTTGAGAAACCTATTTTCCTAAATTATTGTTTTAAGAGAAAGACTGAAAAGTTTGAGAAATAGAGCTCGATCAAAGAATGTCAAATGTTTCCTTATGTGGAAACGGCTAATAATAAAATTATGAATGTCATCTCACTCACTCACTCACTCTCTCTCTCTCTCTCTCTCTCTCTCTCTATATATATATATATATATATATATATATATATATATATATATTTAAGAAACGAAAATCTTCGTAATCCGTATGGATAAACCCAAGGAGGATGAAATCCTGAGAGCTCAGTGTTAAATCAGAGCGAATAATTTAATATAAAGGAAAACAGACCACAGTAAAGCTCCATTTGTAATAATTTATTTCACCAGTGTCATATACCCTAGTCGACGAATGGGTTTATAAGGCGATCATACGCCGACCAGAAGATATATACATTATCACACCTGTGGAGAGATACAGGCTATGTCTCTCAGATCATGACAATGGACAATTAGTAAACAAAAAATATTTGAAAGAACACTGTTCGATTAGGATAATCGAACAGTAATCTTTTCCCAGGTTCGCTTCGGTTCCAACAAGAATACTGATCGACAATTCAAGGATGAACTATAAGGCGTAGTGAATTTTGATATAAGAACTTTAATATGTACAGATATACAAAATATTAAAATAAAAGAAAATATAAGCATGAGTAAAAAAAACATCTGATGACCAGATCTCAAGACTTATGTTGGGATATCAAAATATGCCTAACTCCAAATGGATTCGACTGAGCCCGAACGGATAAAAAATATAAGTATGAATAACTACGAATGCAGAAATCAACGCATAAGCAAAAGAGATGGGATAGGAGTTACATATTATTATTTTGACATGTGGAAAGGTGTTTGTAAGAACATAATATTTATGGATGCATGTGTATCTTTCTAACACGGGTCCAAAATATATAATTACTTATCTCTATATTCAGTTCTCTTTTTTATCATTGTCCTTTCTTTTCTCTCTCACGTTTCCTCTTTCTTTCTTTCCTTTTCTTGACACAAATACGATTTCACACACTGTCCGGCTGTAACAGAGATATACACTTTCTTCCTCTCTCTGGTTTTCCTTTTTCTTTCTTTCTTCTTCTTTACACAATTCGGCTTGTAACACAGATATATACTTTCTTCCTCTCTGGTTTTATTTTTTCTTTCTTTCTTTCTTTCTTTCTTTCTTTCTTTCTTTCTTTCTTTCTTTCTTTACACAATTCAGCTTGTAACAGAGATATATACTTTCTTCCTCTCTGCTTTTCTCTTTTCTTCAAACGCAAGCTGTATTCTCAGCATACAAATTCCCTTGCGTTATCTGTGATAAATAACGCAAGTTATCGTCTTCAATTTGGGGTTATCGAACAGAAATACATGTTCTTACATTTCTTGTCCGGGGTTGCCTGGGATGAATCGGACAAGTTCCATCATTATCAAATGAGTCTCATCTTTCCGATCATAAGTTATCAGCGCTTCGATTTCGAGTCTAGCTCCTTCAAAGTCAAGACAGCAACTGACTCGCAAGTAATTTTCTAGATCTCACATGTCCTACGTTTTGTCGCGAATTCCAGCTTACATCAGCCCCCTGTCTAGCTTCTGTCTCGACATCTGTTGCTACGGGTAATTGGGTCAGTCAACCTCTTGACTTGCTTTCCCAAAATGTCTCATGACTTCCACGTGACCTCTTCTGTTGCCAGGCGGAGATTAACCTTAATATATGCGTGTATGCGTGTTTGGGCAATCTGCGTCTGTCACACCAGAGAATTTTATTTTTCTCTGGATCTTCAGACTTCACTTTCAAAAGGTGAAACGAAAAATGAATTTAAAATTAACACTTTTGAAGAGGCAGAGAAAAATAAAATTCTCTGGTGAAATAAATTATTACAAATGGAACCTTAAAGTTGTCTGTTTTTCTTTAAATTATCTATCTATCTATCTATCTATATATATATCTATATATATATATATATATATATATATATATATATATATATATATATGAAGTTGTAGCCTTTGTCTGTCTGTTTGATATCGAACTCCTAGGGTTTTAGAGATAGACCCCCATAAACATATATATTATGAAACTACATTAACCAGGGTACTTTGATACGTATATTTCATTTTGATTAAAGGTGGTCTCGAGGTGGATGGCCAAAACCCCCACTGATTTTTTACCCTTTGATATAAATTAAATTTAAATTTGAGCAAGTGAATGACCCCAAGGGTACTTGGAAAAGTATATTTCATTTTGATCAAAGGGAGTCCCTGATGTGCACCCACACTGAAATATTTTTCCCTTTGATTTAAATGATTCCTATCCAAAATATAGGAGAAAGCCAGAAGATGGAGCTCACATCGACAAGTTTAAAATAAGATAATACAAAAGTCAAGTTGAGCAAGAAATCACCAATCAGTGGGTAGTGACTTACAATACATATTTCTTGCGGCAAATAAACTGTCATATCAACGTCGAAATCTGCTCATCATCTCGTCTACAGTTGCTCTCTCACAGACGCACCGTCGCCTCTCTCTGTCTGTTTTACAAATACTTTCATGGTAATTGCTCCGAGGACCTGCATTCGCTGGTTCCCAGACTTCATGAGTTCAAGCGCCCTACGAGGCTGGCATCCCGCTCTCACCCTTTCACTGTCGAAACTACTAAATGTAGCCGTCTCTTCTACTCCAATAGCTTCATGTCTCGCACCTCTCGCCTGTGGAACTCCCTTCCTTATTTCAGTTTCCCTGAGAGCTATAATCTCCAGCTATTCAAATGTAATGTCAATCGACATCTCCAGTTGCCTTGATCTATCCACTATCCTGTAAAAAAGACAGAGGGAGGCGACGTCACGTATGTGAGAGAGCGACTGCAGACGAGATGCCAGATCAAGGCCAATTACGTTGCATATCCGTCTCTGGATCTTATCAAGAACCTTGAGATAAACATAGGGGGCTCCATACCATATATGACAGCAATACTCCATGCAAGGGCGAATGGTTGATTTGTATATTTGAAGTATCGATTCCGGAGAGAAAAATCCTGGTGCGGCACAGAGAGCCAACTTTTCCTCGCGGTGGAAGAGGCAATTGACTCAATGTATTTGTTCCATCACAGGTCAGCAGTCAATGTGAGACCGAGCAGCCGCAGAGAGGTGCTCTCGGGGAGTTACTTACTGTTTTTCGGAGACTGGAGTATCACAGTCTTTCTACTGAAACTTTCAAATATTAGTGCCTCTCACTGTATGACGCTAACGGTTATATATCAAGATATTCTATTCGTGTTATATTTTATATTTATTAACAATAATAGCAATGAAAATACTTTTACTATTCATAATATATCGTTAGCAAAATAATAACGTTTTTCGTTATTAATAGCAAATTCATTGACTCCCACATATGCATATTTATTATTATTATTATTATTATTATTATTATTACACTCATATCTGGCGGCCATTATTATTGCCACCAAATCCATGATGGCTTCGTTTTGTTCAGTAATTGCCTCTACGCCCACACGAACTAACGTTTTAAAGCAGACTGCAAACATTTCCTGCATCCGCTTGGTGTAATTTTAGAAAAAAAAAAAGAAGACTTTTCCTACGCGCTAGCAAAGCCAAAAGCCAAATGTCTGTTTGTCTCTAGAGACGTCTTTCCAAAATACACGGTTTCATTGAGTAGTAGTTGTACAATCGGCAAGGTCATCTGGCGTGTTCCGGGCCGAGGAAATTTAATCCGTTTCTTGAATCATTTCAAAATACAGTGCTATCATTTTTACCCATTCTGTTTTTATCGACGATAGCTGACACCTTCCCCCGCCGCCTGTGGATAGAATACACGAGGAACGAAAGATATTGTGGAAAGAGGACTTAGAGAATATAACACTCACAGGACCTATTGAAGGTAACAGAAACAGGAGAAAATATCGAATAAGCGAATTAAAGAGTTTGAGTAAATCTAGGCTACATAAGGAAAGAGGGCTTGGGAAATATCATACACACATGACAGATTGAAGGCAGGAGAGACAGAGGAAAAAAAAGTATAATCTGTTAGTGAGCTTGAATAAATGGATGGCGGAATCGGGTTTAGGTGAAATAACAGAAAGGCAAAACTTATTAAGAGCTACAAAGGATAGGAAATAGTGGATGGCCATTATCGCCTACGTCCTGAGAAGAGACAGCAACACGAAGAAGAAGAAGAAGAAGAAGAAGAAGAAGAAATGTCCATGAAAGAAAAATATTCGGGAATGGTTATTTCTTTTCTAATCTTTTACAAGACACCTAATTGTGCTTACATTAGAGATCCAGCGTCAACAAGCTTCCTGAATACGCCAGCTTTCTCCTCAGTATATATATATATATATATATATATATATATATATATATATATATATATATATATATATATATATTATCATATCACATATATATATATTATCATATATAGGGTGATTTTAATAATGTTACTTGAATATTGTGAATATTCAATGGATTTATATTTCTTCCAATTGCTTTGCAAGTCCGTTCAGTACTGTTCCAAGCACGCCAGTAATTGTGGGTTTAAAATCAAACCGATATATCCTAAGATTGTAGATCTGTGCCAAAATACAAATTTTTTTCGGTATAGCTCTTTTTTCAAATTAACTGGATTCTACTGGAACAATGACATCAAACGTCTGAGAACTCCCCCCCGCCCCGGTACTTTAGGAATTGATCTGGTGATTGTGTCTAAAATGAGTAAACCACTGAGCTATCAACAATTCAGAGAAGTTCATGTTTTTATTCTTCATGATATTTTCTAGTTTGTGATAGAATTTTGTTTGCACAATTATCAATGCATTACCTTTCCTACCCAGTCATATAAATTTTTGCGTTTGATAATTATTATTATTACAAGGTAATCAAAAATGTTCTGACCGTTTTTTGATTAGTCATTGAATGAAGTTGAAATATATACGAAATGCGTGTAGCAATTGTTTTCAAATTCGGTCAGCCGGAAGTAGGAACATCAGACGTTATAAAAAATACGCGCACCGTGCCCGGCCATCAGTTATAAGCCGGACAGCTGTGAGAAGGATGGAAGTGTCTAGAGATCTCATTCGGGGCTGTTTCCTTTACGACTTCAAAGTGGGCTTATCAGCAGCTGCATCAAGTCGTCGCATTTGTCAAGCGTTTGGGGATAGTGCTGTGGATGAACGTCCTGCAAGGCGTTGTTTTCGAAAATTCAAGTCGGGAGATTTGTTTCTCCATGATGAGCCACGCAGTGGACGACCACAGGTCTTGAATGACGGAGTCCTGAAGGCGGCCATTGAAGAGGACATTAGTCTAATGTGTGGTGAACTTGCAAGACAGTTCAACGTTTCCGATGAAACAGTTAGACTTCACCTGCACCGCCTAGGTAAGACGTACAAACTGAGCAAGTGGGTTCCGCAAACGCTGTTGGAGGTCCACAAGGGACAACGAGTGGCAGCCTGTGTATCGCTGCTTTCTCGCCACCGTACTGCATCCTTATTCAATCGAGTGCTTACCAGTGATGAAAAGTGGGTTCTGTACGAAACTCCCAAGCGTTCCAGACTTTGGTTGTCTCCTCAGGATGCTGTCCCTCACACCGCAAGACCGCCTATGCACCCACGCAAGATTATGCTTTGTGTCTGCTACCAACGGGCCAAACGGTCACTGGAGACCTATACTGGCAGCAATTGAAACGTGTGCAACAGGCATTGCACCAGGAGCCAGCACTGGTGAATCGCAAAGGTGTGCTTTTCCTCCATGACAACGCCAGGCCGCATGTCGGGCAAGTGGTCAGGGATACCATACAGCAACTTGGGTGGGAGACTTTGTGCCATCCACCTTATTAACCTGACCTTGCACCATCCGATTACCACCTCTTCCACTCCCTGGATAATCATCTTCGTGGAAAATCCTTCACCAATGAAGCAGACTTGCACAAAGCCCTCACGGACCTTTTGCGCCATCCCCCACCGAGTTCTACCGCAAGGGCATTGAACAGCTGGAGACACGTTGGCAGAAGGTGCTGGATGCCGATGGCGATTACTTCAAAGACTAAATATAAGTTACACATACTGTGAAGCGTTTTCTTTTTTTCGTTTAAAAACGGACAGAAATTTTTTGGTTACCTTGTATTATCCGAAAGCATGGAATCTCCATGGATATTCACAAATAAGATTACCGCAAACTGCTATAAAGCAGAAACATAAACCCCCAAAAACTTAAAAACTCAAATTTTCTCGAGACTCTCATATGAATGTCTTTCGGGGGCTCTAAACTCGTTCAGAAATATCAAAGCTGTCAGCAGTATGTATGCGCTTTCTCAGATCAATGGTTAATATGTCTTCCATCGAATGAAGCCTGTGACGAAGAGCAACCTATTTCGAACCTCATCGTGCGCTACATAATTGCAAAAAAACTGTAGCAAATGACAGAAACCACATCACTTGAGGACTTTCATGAGTAGTAATAATTTGGTTCTTACATGTAGCACGAAGAGAAAATAATGACATAAAGATGATGTTAGCG